GAATGGGTACCTCTCTGTGCTCTGCTTTAAGAGGGGTAAACATTCAAAAGCCCAGACATGAGGGATGAAAGAGTAGGGCCCATGACTCATTATTACAAAAGAATTTTTCTCTTTGAGGAAGCCACTCAACGGAGGACTATTTCAATTAGCCAGCTCTCTTTGCGTGTGCTCAAAGTGCCATTGATTAATATGCAGCTTCACAGGAGGGCCTCTAGGGTGCAAAACCAGGGATATTTCTGGAATCTGGTGGGATGAAATAGTTTCCGCTGAACAGATCAGTGCCATGTCTGTGACGCAGGTTACATCTGAGCGGCCAGGACACTCCCTTTCTGGAAAAGGGCTAAAATGGCATATGACCCCACAGGGAGATGCCCCAGTGCCCTCTGCCTGATTCCTTCTGGTGGATATTCTGGATACACTCCCATCAGGCCAATAAGAGACACTCATTTCATTTAAAGGAAAGCTTCAAAGTGCTTTTCATTAGCCCGGAGCACTGGTTTATTAAGCAAGAGTTGGCCAACTTGGAGTGAGCCCAGAGACTAATGAAGATGACGAGGGAGGGAAATCGGAGGTGAGGGGAAAGGCGTGATGGTAGGAAACCAGTCTGTTCCCTTGTTCTTGTTGTTATAGGGACCAGGGAATACACTTCAACCCAGCAAGAAGAATTCAATTCAATATCAAGAGGCTTCTATGGTCTTATGGTAAACGGGGAAATCCTCTCTCCAGAGAAGCTGTGAGATTTCTGTATTCTTTCTGGAATGATTTAGAGGATGTGATTCTGCAATAAATGGTGTTCTTTTTGTTTGTTTGTTTTTCTTGAGTATGTAATGTCTCTGTGAGATAAGCACCTATACTCCCTATCCTAATGAAGTTGTTTAGGCATCATGGTATTCTATGGATTTAGTTCTAAAATATGGTTTCCCTACGTCATTAAAAATTTCCACTGGAAGGAACCGACACCTGCTTAGCCTTTCTGGAGTTGGACCTGCCGTTGCTTAGGTACCTTCATACTTTGTGCACACTGCCCTTGCCTCTTAATTTATGTGGGGTGTGTGTGTTTGTGTTTATATGGTAGTTCTGGCTCTGCCAGGTGAGAGGGATTTTTTTCAAGGGTAGGCACATAATTCAGTTGAATCCAACATGTGCTTAATAGTGCACCTAACTTCCTTTACATTATCTGCAGGGTCCACAACCCAGCTATGCCACGGGTCATCTTAAATTGTATTGCTGAGTGACTTTGCTGGGCTGCTGAGTGACGTAAGGCATATATGAGCAGACAATGAGGGTAGGAAGACATTTTTTGAGGTGAGGGTAATACAGGCTAAAGGCAGTCACGTTCCACTCATCACTCCCTCATCACCAAGGAATAAACAGGAAGTGAGAGTAGGGAGAACAAGGTCCAGAGACTAGTGAGGGCTCTCAGGAAGATGAAAGACACAATAAAGCTTGGATCGGGTCCAGAGCTGGGGGAGGAGAGAGTGTAGGCTGTGCCAGCTTGGGCAAAAGCAGTCACTCCTCTTTCTCCCAGTGTGGGCTGGGATTCTCAAGCTTAAAGGCAACACTGTTTTGTGTTTGCCCTCATTATGTGAGTATGTCACTAGCTGATGTCATCATCCAGCAGATGTCCCATTTAGGTGAGGAGCCCACTCATGTGTCTGCTCTTAGCACCCCAGGGCAGTGGCATCTCTGCCAGAGGGCAATTAAAGCAGGGAAGGGATGGAGTGGTGGGGGCAGGCCAGGCCAGTCCCTCCTCCTTCCCCCTGCACCTTTTGCCATGGCCAGAGGGGGAATTGATGGAGCCAGAGTCCGTGGCCAAGACCACAGCTCCCGAGCACTGGGGAAGAGCACAGATCCTGAAAGGAGGCAGATCGGTCCTTGGATCCTGGCTCTGCCTCTTACTTATCTCTTAATCACTATAACTGGCATAAAGTTTAGCGAGGTGGTTGGGTGCAGAAATCAGTAATTCTCATACACTGCCTTTTAGTAATTAGGAAAGATGACAGAAAAGGTGGGGTTCTAATTCACAACACAGAAATTCTAAGCTATCTAGGGATCCCTAATAGCAGCAACAACAACAAGAAGGCAAAATGCACAAGAAGAACCAGAAAACATTGACAACAAACAATGAGGAGGAATTGCTGTCTCAGAAACACTGAGATCACTGGAACAGAAGAGAAAATGTCTAAATTCAGCATGTACTAAATGTGGTATTTCAGTGAGGGGAGGTGAGGATGTTCATCTTTGTGTAGCAGAAAAGAACAAAAAGGAACATAACAATTAGCCAACTTTCCACTCCTCAGACTCAGTCACTATTAATATTTTGACTTAATTGTTTTCATCCTTTTTTCTATGTCAACATCTTTTAATAAATAAACACAGCATCCTTTAAAAACAATCCATGGCTCAAATTCCAGCTAAGACGGCCAACCAGCTGGTCCTGTTCTCTCCCTCCCCCAGGATCAATCCTGAGAAATTTGTGAGAAACCCAGGAGAGCCCAAGGCTGTTTGAGCTGATTTGTGTGGGGGCAGGTGGGTTGCTGCAGCCTGGAGCTGAGACCTGAGGATGAAGAGAGGGGGTAGTTGGGAGGAGAGGGTCTTAAGTTTGCCCTTGCCTATTGTCTGCCCCTTTACAATGGAGATCTGGACTAGCAGGCCAACCACCAGTGCCCTTGTCTGTAGTTCACTGGGAGGTCAGATCTACTTCATAGGTAGGCTTGCCAGATTTAACAAATAAAAATACAAGATGCGCAGTTCAATTTGAATTTCAGATAAAAAACAAATAATTTCTTAGTATAAGTATATTTCATGCAATATTTGGGACATACTTAATAATAAACTTTTTATTGTTTATGTGAAATTCAAATTTAGCTGAGTGTCTTCTATTTTGTCTGGATGGCCTTATTCATAGGTGATGGGGATAGTAATGCCTGCCCTGAGTATCAAGCCTGCCGGCACGTAGTTGACTTCTACAGAACTGGTTACTCATCTGGCCTCCACTCCAGGATGGAGAGGGAAGCCTGTAGGTAACCTGCTGTCATGGAGCTTTTCACGTGGGGAGGGAGAACCAGAGTTTGAGCCTGGCTCATTGGAAGTTTCCCTATCAGCTTTTGGGTTTTGTACAGCATGGCAGGTCCTAAGCTTTGCTTCCACTATGCCCTTGACCTCAAACCCTAGAGCTGCATAATAGAAGGTAGGGAGCTCACTAAACCTCACAAGTCTCCCCCAGCTCCAAAGCTGCTGCCTAGTGACCTGCTCAGCAGCAAGACCGTTGCCCACCTGCAGACCACCATGGAATAAGGCGAGTGTGCAACTTAATTTATGACCCAGGGCAGAGGGTCTCTGCTATGGCTTCAAATTAGCAAAGTATTATTATAACTGAGTTGGTTATTGTTCTTGTGGAATTTCTTTTTGCTTTTTATTCTTTTGCGTACAGATAAGACCTGGTATGGAATGTCTGATTAGCCAAATAGTAGAATAAGCTTGTGTAAACATGGCCTAAGAGGTAGAAGGTCCATTTTTGTCTAAAAGTCAAAATTACAGTCCTGACACTGATATCTGGGAAGATTTGAATGAACTTTCAATGTATATTTTTGCTTAGCAAAATTTGCATGAAAGTTTACACTGAAAATGGTGTTTGGATATACTATCACAAAAGGAGAATGTTCTCAGCGAGAATCTCCTCCAAGCTAATCTGGCTGTCGTCTGTCAAGACAGACCATCTTTCAATCTCATTCTTTTTGTCAACAACACTTCAAAACAAAGTCTCTAACCAACACCGTAGGGAGGTTTTATCAATTCATTTTATTGACTTTTTTGACAGTGTCATTTTCTTCCAAGGTTGTGGAGATATAATTTACAGACAGTCAAACTCACTGTTTTTAGGTGTACAGTTCTATGAATTTTAACCAGCATTTATCAAGAGATGTTCTTTGGTGGAACCCAAGTATCTTTGGGTGCAAAGGAAATCCATTCCAACTCATTTAGCACTATGTGGCTTTAAATCCATACATGAAAATCTGGGGATAATCCTTTTCTGTACCAATTGGTTTGACTGATACATCTCAGATGTTGCATCAAAGCAACAACTTTGTGGCACAAGTCCTTGTTATCATAGAGAGGAATCAAGCATTTCGCCTTCCTACCAGCTGGCCTCTGTTCTGCTGGATTGGTGCTGTGCTTCCCCTGTGGTGGGAGGGGGTGGTGGGGGTGTCTCTGAGGGAGTCTCAGAGGTCAGGGTGGGGACCAAGCTACCAAATGATGGAGCTGGAGAAACAAAACCCTTCAGTTATCAGACTATATTGATCCAGATTCCAGAACCCTGACTTCTCTTTCCTAATGCTTTTTAAAAGACTCCATTTTGAGAAAGAGCCCTGAGTGGCAGAGGGTGAGTAGTTGTTGATAGTCATCCACCCTCAGGATAACTCAGTATCACATGATGTTGACGGGCAGAGTTGGGTATGAAGCAGAGTAAGCTGGCAGTGGGACTAGGAGATGGTTCCCAAAGATGAGGATCAGTGTGTGGGATGAGAAATATCAGAACCAATACATGACCAGCAATGTAATCTAACACAGAATCCTTATATTAGAAATCTGCTTTATTCGACACAACAAAAGAAAGCAAAGAGAGCAGAGAAAAACCTTGCAGGGATATAACTCTAGATGAGAGTGTTGTGTCGATACCACTTAGGGACACTGCATGGGAAGATAACAACCCATCTGTCCTATGGGGAACTCTTAGGTGTAGCTATAATTGGCAGGACAGCTAGAAATCAAAGGGCATTTTTCCCATTCTGTAGCATGATCCTGATTGAATTTCAGTTTTCAAGACGAGCATAGGTCATTTTCTTCCCAGAATTATGGCAGACTGATGTAACTGATAATAAGATGGAAACATCAAAAGAACATCTACTTGTCTGCATAACACAGATTGTTGACATTCTGATGGTGAGTAATGCAAGCTTGGGTGCAGCAGGTGTAGACAAAGGAAATGAGGACTAGGCAACTTCAGCTCTAACTCAGAGGCCAAGAGAAGTCAGAAGCAGGAGAGAAGGAGCAACTGGAGGAGAGGACAATGCAGCTGGAGAGGGGGCCGGAGACGAAGAGGGGACAAGAGCAGACTTCAGGGCTTGTAGCTCTTCCCGCTGGAGGATGAGGTGGTGGTGTATTTGATGGTGGAACTGCCACCCCCAGTGGAAATCAAGCCACCCCCAATGCCTCTGCCACTGCCGGAACTGAAGCCACCTCCAATACTGTGACCGCTGCCATAGGAGTAGCCGCTGCCTCCACCCAGGCCTAAGCCACCGCCAACACCACTGGCGCCGCCATAGCCGCTGGAAACGGTGGACTGCACCACGGCTGTGGAGAGGAGGGGACAAGGACACACAAGACTCGGTGAGCTCATTCTGCCAGCCTGAGTCCAGTCAGAAGAGTACCAGGGCAAGGGAGGGAGGCAAGCAAAGATACTTACCAGATGTTGACTTGTCCAACGTCTTCCCCACTCAGCTGAGGAGGAAGGAAACACAGGGACCATGAGACCCCAGAGAGCCTCTACTGGACCAGTGTGGGAAGCCTCGGTGTTGAGCATAGTCCCTGGGGAAACTGCCTTTTAATGGTTCCCTGAGAGTAGCAATTATGGCCACGACTAGAGTGTCTTAAACTTGTGCTCACTGCTTAGAGTCGTGGAAATGGACCCAGATGATTGAGGAGGTTATGTGAGTTACCCACCTGAACTCCTCGCCTTCCAGCAGCTTCCTGTAGGTGGCAATCTCAACCTCCAGGGCCAGCTTGACATTGATCAGCTCCTGGTACTCCCTCAGCAGCCAGGCCATGTCCTGCTTGGTCTTCTGCAGGGCGTCCTCCAGATCAGCAAGCTTATTCTTAGCATCCTTGAGGGCCAGCTCCCCACGCTGCTCAGCATCAGCAATGGCGGCCTGCAGGTTGGCGCACTAGAGGGGGAACAGGCAGAATGAACTTGCAATCTGGACCTCCAGAGGAGACTAACCCTGATTCTTCTTCCTAGTGAGGAAGAGTCCTCGAGTGTAGAATTGATGGAGAGGGAGCCCTGAATCTTCCTGTCTAGCTGTTTGACTATCTGGGAACCTTTTCAATTCTGGAGCTAGTTATCACAGTTCTGTGCCTTTTGTGTTAACACCCGCATGCGGCTGTGAGTGTGACTGGTGGAGCACCCTACAGTGCACACAAGACCAGGGGACATTGGAAAAACGGATCATTGATTTGTTTTGAGTGTTGTTTCCAAAGTCAAAACTGGACCATAGTCAGTTGTGTCTTGGATGACCACAACTAAGTTTGCACAATATTACAAGTATGGTCCACTGAGGTAGTGAATTTTCTCATGAGACTATTGAGAACTTGCCCTTCTCTCACCACAGAGTCCCTTACACAATTGGGAAGCACTGTTCTCTGCTTTCACTCCTCCCTCTTTTTCTTAGATCATGAGCAGATTTGCAACATCTTTTCTCAACTCTATGGCCTGCCTTTCCTTCCACGTGTTCCTTTGCAGTTCCCAGTCCAGCTACGTCTCTTAGACCAATCCTTTTTCCATGCCTTCAGCCCATACTCCACCCCTGTGAACAATGAGATGCTTCTGTCCATGCCTTTGTGTCATGCCCTTGGGATTGGACCCACTCTCCCAGAGAGACCCAGTGGGACCCACAAAGGGCAGCATGTGCTTTCCTCCTTGGTTGTTTCCAGTGCCCAGGAATGTGTCCAAATTATGGTTGATTACTGGCTGATGGTCAGGCAATGAAATGATGTTTTTCTTCACTATCCCTCTCCCACCTGCTCCATCATACCTGCTTTTGGGTGTGGTTGATGCCAGATCTCAGTCTCTGGAACACATGGTTGAGCTCAGCAGTCTCCTGCTTGGTGTTGTGTAGGTTGTCCCTTTGTCTGCTAACCTTGGTTTGCAGCTCCTCATACTGTAGATCAGAGAGAGAGGCAGCGTGTATGGGCTTTCACATACGAACAACGACTTTCAATTCCCAGTCTTTTGATAAACTTGTATCAAATGATGTTACATCTCATCTAGGAAAAGTAGATGGCACAACATTAGTTGATGCTGTACAACTGAATAGTTCTATAACATCATTGAGCACCTAGTTTTTCAATAAACTAGTGATGTTCTTCAGAGTATCTATAGGATTCACGATCAGGAAGAGGTTGAAGGCAAAGTCCGGTAGTGTAATGTCATTAAAGTCTTTCTTTCTGCCTTTGTTTTTTTCTTTTTCACTCTATAGGCTTAACTGTAAGTTCTTTAACTGTCTACGTGAACTCAGCAAAGATGGACCTTCTGTGAAATTATCCAGTGTCTTTGTACTTCAGACTCCACTCAAAAGGCTGCAAGAAGCTGGTGCAACTGTATATAATCATCAGGGAGCAGGCACAGGGATTCTTCACCTATTGCTGGTGACTGTTGGTCTGTATAAGGACTCAGCTTCAGCTTACCTCCTCCGAGTGATCTCCTTATATAGGCCTTTGACCTCAGAGATGATGCTATCTAGGTTGAGATTATGGTTGTTGTCCGTGGAGAGGACCACAGAAATGTCTCAATTGCGGGATTGCGTTTGAGAACACTCCTGCAGGATATGGATTCTTAATACCTCTACTTCCAGTGATACATCTGTGAGGTACAACCCCAAACATTCCAACCACTCAGACTCTTAGTAAGCAGAACAATAAACAAAAATACCAGTGAACAAACAGGGTGAGGTGCTTATCATCTCAAAGTAGGTACACAAGAAATCAATCTGATCACTAAGTGTACTTATCTTGGCTTGCAGTTCAACCTCATTTGTGCAGATAGCATCAACATCTTGGGAAAAGACCAAAAACTTGGAGTCAGCTGACCCTTACCCCCAGCCCACCCAATATCTCCTCCCAGGTATGGGCAGGGGCACAGACTCCTCCAGCCTTCAACAGAGGAACTAGAACACCTAATCTGGATGAGCTCACCTTCTTCAGGGTTACACATTCATTCTGTGCTGCTGCATGCTTATTGATTTCTCCTTCATATCTAGAAAGAGAGGATGAGGAGCGATGCTTGAGCCAGCGAGTAAAGGGTTTCAGAAGAGCCTGTCTTGGTCCAAGATTTTCCATTAAATGGGTAATTCTTATGTTGAACTATCAACCCAAGGAGCTTAGAAAGTGACTAGTCTCTCATTTTCTCCCCTAGTGTATACGGTAGTCTCACCTTATCCATGGTTTCACTTTCCATGGTTTCAGTTACCTGTGGTCAACTGTGGCCCAAGAATATGAAATGAAAAATTCCAGAAATAAGAAATTCATAAGTTTTAAACTGTAGCTGTTCTGAGTAGTGTGATGAAATCTCATGCTGTCCTGCTCTGTCCCACCTGGGACACTATGTCACAGTGCCTATATCATTCACCTCACTTCATCTCATCACACAGGCATTGTATCATCTCACATAATGACAAGAAGGGTGAGTACAGTACAACAGGATGTGCTGAGAGAGAGACCACATTCACATAACTTTTATTACAGTATATTATTATAATTGTTCTATTTTATTGTTAGTTATTGTTGTTAATCTCTTACTGTGCCTAATTTATAAATTAAACTTTATCATAGCTATGTATATATAGGAAAAAACATAGTATATATAGGATTCGGTACTATCTGCGGTTTCAGGCATCCACTGGGGGTCTTGGGATGTGTCCCCCACAGATAAGGGAGGCTACTGTACTTGGTAATGAAGTCCATTGCTCATTTTGTTCATTCAGATTTTTCTTAGGAAATAATTTATAATTTTCATTTCCACTGGATATTTTTTCCTAATTAATCATGCTCACAACTGGGTCTGGTCACTCAATGGACTTGAAGTGTGGGCTTCAGAACACGGAGCCCATTTCCCTCCTCTACGTCACCTGTTCTTGAAGTCCTCTCTCTTGCTCTGCTTGTGTCTGGGCTCTGAGTCCAGGCAGCCACTAAAGAAGGGGAGAGATTCTAGCCGCCTCCTGAGGCTGTTGATGTACTGCTCGAACAAAGGCTCCAGGTTCTGCCTCACGGTCTTGGTGCCCTGCTCCTGGAGCAGGGTCCACTTGGTGTCCAGGACCTGGTTCTGCTGCTCCTGGAATCACACTTTAGGAGGAAGACAAAATGGTCATTTGCCAGACAGAGAGAGAAAGTAAGAAGTGTCTATGTTATTAGGTTTCCAAGCAGTCGGGGTGTTGTCCATGGTGCTGGGTTATTGAGCGAATGTACAGAGGCTCATGTCAGCAGGAATGTTCCCCTGAACTTTTTCCTTCTCAACCCACAGATCTCACTGATGAAATCCCCCCACAGATGTTTGAGTCATTCCTGCCCTATAAGTTATTGTGCCTATTAGTGATTTTTTAAATCATTTCCTCTCCTTCTCTTCACAATCAGAATCACAAATATAGTTTAAAATAGTCTTTATCTGGTATATTGTACAGAGCTTTTATTTTCCACAGGATCTCAGTAAAAGGGATGTTAAATATTACCTAATGATTAGATTCTAATCTAAACTCCCATTTATTGCATGTATCTCTTCTAAAACATTCTTCACAGATGGTTATGCTCTGTTTCTGGAATAAATTCTTTTTTTTTTTTTTTACAGATTATAAATGTGCATCTCAAATGTTTCTTTTTCTCATATGGACAGAAAGGAATTTTATTTTTCTATTCTTCTCTTTGTTTTTCTTTTTTTTTCTTACCCAGAGCCTCAGAGCAAGTCATGACTGGCCTTTTTTTCCTACCCCACTGTAGACCTTTCAGGGGTAAATGTTAACCCATTCCACACTTGCATTTCCTTATATATACTTCAGAGTTATCAGAAGTTGAGAATTCTTCTTCCTAGGCAGGAATGAGTGTTTGAGGATTCAGTAGCTCTAAATGATGCCCATCACCTGCTGCCTGTGGTCCACATGAGCCCACCTGGCATCCCTAGTCCAGGTCTCCTTTCCCTCTCGCCTAGTCTCCCCCTGGTAGGACATTCGTGGTTCTCCAGTTTGGGGACTCTGAAATCCCCTGGAGGCTGGTCCTCCTGGCTCACATTGTCGATGAAGGAGGCGAACTTGTTGTTGAGGGCCTTGATCTGCTCCCGCTCCTCGGTCCTCACCCGCTGGATGGCGGGGTCGATTTGCAGGTTGAGGGGAGTCAGGAGACTCAGTCTGGTTGACGGTGACCTCTTGGATGCCTCCAGGGGGGCACACAGGGAAGCCAGAGCCCCCATAGCCACCAACAAAGCCAGCTCCACCACCGAGCCCAAAGCCACTACCAGCTGCACCGCCAAAACCGAATCCACTCCCGGCTCCACCGCCAAAGCCAAAGCCACCTCCAATTCTGCCGCCATATCTGCCACCGACGCCATAGCTGCCCCCTCCGATGGAGATCCTCTTGGAGCCCCCACACCATAGAGGCTGCGGCTGCTGAAGCCACCTCCACACACTCCACCGAGGCCACCACTGCCCCTGGAGCAGGACACGGGAATGCTGCTGAAGCCAGAGCGGGAGACCCCAGGGACTCTGGCTGAGCCGGCACTGAAGCCACGGTGGCTGCTGCTCCGGCTCCTCGTGGTGGATTTGCTAGACATGGTTCTTGAAGGTGAGAGGCTCTGGAAAGTGTGAGAGGCTGGAGGGTAGAGCTGAGTGGAGAAGTTTGAGATGGGCTTCCAGCAGCCTTTTGTATAGGGAGGAGTGGGTTGGGCTCAGTCCTGAAAGGTGACCTTGCAGGTTGGGAAGGGTTGGGCTTTGCAAACATTGAGACCTCACTCAGGCTATTAAAAAAGGTATGAAATGTGAAGATTGCTTCTTTGGCTTTCTTTAGCCAGGGAAAAATTTTCCTACCTTTGATCTTTGACTCGATCTCAATACAATAAAACTATTCTCAATTCACTGAGGCTAGGAGTTCGACTTTGTCTCGAAAAAGGGTTCAACATGTTATAGGGTTCATGTACCAGAATGTACTGAGTGCTCTCCCTCCAACCAGCTCTTTTGTAACAGTTGGGAACTTGGAAATATACAAATAATCTATTGCTATGTCCTAACAGAAAGGTTATCATTTTTCCAACAATTACAAATATGTTAAGTTTGACTTCTTTTTTCTATTATGTAAAATTTTGAACAAATAGAAAAGTATAAGAACAACATAATAGATTCCTGGATGCCCATCCCAGATTCCGGAATTTTTATCTCAGGGTCAGCCTTATTTCCTCCATAACTGCCCACTTTCTTCATCCTCCTTAAATTATATGAAAGGAAATTCCAGAAGATCATACGATTTCATCAGTAAATAATTCAGTATTTATGTCTAGATGGTCAACTCTTTAGAAAAAGACCAAAATACTATTTTTATGTCAAAAAATTAAACAGTAATTCTTTAACATCATGAAGTGTCTAGTGAACATTTAAATTTCCCTGTATTCTTTTTTATTTTTTTTTATAATTTGTTTGTTCAATTCAAGATCCAAATAAGGTCCATACGTGTTTATTTGGGTGATACATCCTTTAAATAATATGTCCTTTAGATCATTTAACATTCCATCTTTTCTTTTTCTTGTTAAATAAACAAGGTTAATTGTCCTACAGAGTTTTTTACTCCCTGGGTTTTGTGATCACATTCGGGTTGTGTGATCGCATCCTCTGGTGTCATTTAAGAGGTTACTCTCTCCTCTGTATTCCTGTAAACTAGTACTTAAGTCTAGGAAGGTAATAAGTTTATTTTATGTATTTAAACTTTTCCAGAAGTAAGTGTAGTTGAAAGTCTATAAGATTGACTATTGTTACTTACACAATATTTACATATTTAAAAATGAATAAGTAAAGCACGTTTGTCTACCAAAATAAACGCTCAAGGCAAATCCCCAGCCGCCTAATTGAAGATGTTTCTGTGCTTTTTGAGAGCCTGTTTGTGTGCATGAGTTTGTGCGTGTGTTTGTATCCTTTTCCTTTAAGCGTTCCGATTATGCTCGTGCTGGATCATCTTTGTCTTCTTTGTCTGTATGCCCTCTTGACTCTCCTCTAACACTCTATGACCCCCAGGTCACACTTCCCTCTTTTCTCGACATTCTCCTGTACGTCCTTTATTGTGTTTTCAGTGTGTCTATTGCCCTTTGTACTGATAGCAATTTTACCTTCGTTTCCATAGGGACTTCTTTTTTCTCTCTGCCTCATATCCGACTTCTCTAAGTAATGTTTTACTTCTTATTGTCTCACTATATGTTTGTTCTTCTCTAATTTAATAGAGAGTGTATTTTATTGATTTTTGGCAATGTTTTATAGTAACTTTATTCTGGGGAGTGACCATCATGAGCCTTTTGTTTTTCCTATTCATTTCATTTTTGAATGTATAGCATCTTTTGTGGGACCTGGTGTCTTTCTGACTAGTGTTCACCTTTGAATGAGGTGAACTCCTTCTAGACCCATCCTTTGCAGAAGTATTCTAGGAGATGGGCTGAGGCCATGTACAGGCTATCAGGCTGTGATATTAATTCTCTCATTCTTTAAAATACTCCGCCCAACAAATCACTGCAGAGTGGCCTACAATTCACTGTCTCTCTGCTTTTTTTCTCTCACTAATAAAATGCTACCAATAGGACTTGTCCCTGATTTGTTATTCAATTCTACCGTTACAGTTTCTTGGAACTTCATGACTAATGGGGTCCATCCTCAGGTCACACTCCCCGTTCTGATTGCTGCAAACAAGGAGTTCTTGGATTTGCACCTAAGGACGCGTCCTTTACATTGACTTAGTTGTGTTAAATGAGTCAACAGTGCGTGGCGTGTAGTAACACCTCAGTGTTAGGCTTCTCCTTCAGCTTGTGTTCAGCCATGTTTTGACAGAGGTTTTCTTGTACGCCAGGACCTGAAACAAACAAGAAACCAAAGCAACAAAACTGAGAACAACTACCTTTCCCAGTGTTTGCTCATTGTCCCTGTGATGGGACACTCCTTCACCACTTAGCTAGGCGTCCTCTGAACCTAGAGATCTGCACTAGGTGAATGCTTGAGATCTTCTCAAGAGTTTTCTGAGCATGTGTCTTGCCTGAACATATGTATGGCTTTCTAAATTCTCTCATATACACAGCTGCTTTTGAATGTCCTAATTTCTTAACTGCAGCTTAACCTACGGACCTGAGATGGTCAGGTGGTCCATTGTGTGTCTCCTCCTGTAATCTCTTGTCCCAGGGCTATGGGTTTGTAGTCTGCTTTGTCATTTTTCCTAGCTGTGCCTCCTGCTTCTCTTGCCTGCATTTGGGTTAATGCAAAACAAAGACGAGAACCTTGCATCAGTTCTTCAGGAACCCCCCCCAGATATGTTTGAAGAGATTTTTCACAGTACTTTGCAAAAAGGATCTGCAACTGCTCTCTGTGGTTCAAGGTGCATGTGCTGGGGATGGGGGAGGGGAGGCAGGGGGTGAGGAGGGAGTAGTGGGCTGGAGGGTGAGGAGGGGTTTGGGGAAGGGTGTGGAATAGGCTGCTGCCTGCTCTAGACCACAACTACACCAGGTAGAGGGGAGGGCCAGTGCTAAGAAAAATGTCACAACACTTTACCGTAATATTGAAGATGGATTTTCTTGATCAGGTATTTGCTTGGTTGGTGTAAACTTTTGACTGTTTTCCAGGCTCCTACAAGTTTGGTCAGATTGCTTCTGGTTGTTTTGCAGCGTTTCTGTGGCAGAAGGAGAGCTTGGAGCTTTCTAGTGTGCCATTTTGCTATTGTCACCCTCACCATAAGATTTTATTTTATTTTATTCTTGTGTTTCTATGTTTTATTTTTTTTATTGCGGTAACATTGGTTTATAACATTGTATAAATTTCAGGTGTACATCATTATACTTCTATTTCTGCATGGATCACATCATGTTCGCCACCCAAAGATTCATTACAACCCATCACCACACACATGTGCCTAATCATCCCTTTCACCCTCCTCCCTCCCCGCTTCCCCTCTGGTAACCACCAATCCAATCTCTGTCTCTACATGTTTGTTTGTTGTTGTTATCTTCTACTTATGAGTGAGATCAAACAGTTTTTGACCTTCTCACTCTGGCTTATTTCGCTTAGCAAAATGTCCATCCATGTTGTCACAAATGGCTGGATTTCGTTTCTTATGGCTGAGTAGTATTTCATTGGATATATATACCACATCTTGTTTATCCATTCATCCCTTAATGGGCACTTAGGTTGCTTTCAAGTCTTGGCTACTGTGAATAATGCTGCAATGAACACAGGGGTGCATGTATCTTTACACACACGAGTTTTTATGTTCTTTGGATAAACACTAAGCAGTGGAATAGCTCCATTGTATGGTAACTCTATTCTTAACTTTTTGGGGAATTTCCACACTGTTTTCCATAGTGGCTGCACCAGTTTGCACTCCCACCAGCAGTGTATGAGAGTTCCTTTCTCTCCACATCCTCTCCAGCAATTGTTTCCTATCTTGTTAATTATAGCCATTCTGATGGGAGTGAGTTGATATCTCATTGTAGTTTGGATTTTCATTTCCCTGATAGTTAACGATGTTGAGCATCTTTTCTGTTGCCCATCTGTATATCCTCTTTGGAGAAATGTCTGTTCAAGTCTTTTGCCCATTTTTTAATTGGGTTGTTAGTGGTTTTCTTTTCTTTTTTTTTTTTAGAAAGATTAGCCCTGAGCTAACATCTGTTGCCAATCCTCCTCTTTTTTGCTGAGGAAGATTGGCCCTGGGCTAACATCCATGCCCATATTCCTCTATTTTATATGGGATGCTGCCACAGCATGGCTTGATAAGCTGTGTGTAGGTCCTCGCCTAGGATCCCAACCTGTAAACCCCAGACCGCCGAAGCGGAGTGTGTGAACTTAACTGCTATGCCACTGGGCTGGCCCTGGGTTTTAGTTTTTTTGTTGTTGAGATATGTGAGTTCTTTATATATTTTGGGTATTAAGCACTTATCAGATATATGGTTTGCAAATATCTTCTCCCAATTGTTACGTTGTCTTTTCGTTTTGTCGATGGTTTTCTTTGCTGTGCAGAAGATTTTTAGTTTGATATAGTCCCATTTGTTTATTTTTTCTATTGTTTCCCTTGCCCAGGCAGACATAGTACTTGAAAATATGTTGCTAAGACCAATGTCGAAGAGAATACTGCCTATGTTTTCTTCTAGAAGTTTCACACCATAAGATTTTAA